TCTTAGTTTCGTGTTAGTGTCAATTTATGATTTACATCACCAAAAAAAAAAGAAACATTCCTGTATGCAAACATCACATATAGCCTTGAAGATGAGGCGAGAAGCTCCCTCATCCTGGGTAGGTGTGGAGCTGCTCCTCCTCACCAAACCAAGGGCACAAACATCTGACTGGATTGCCTCCTATGTTCTTCCCCTGTGGAGGTTTTTCCTGGTTAATCATTCTGGAGATGCCAGGACAGACCTAAAGTCTTGACTCTGACTCACCTTTGGTCCTTTGTCCTCAGAGAACAGCTTTTCACCTCTCAGGTTCACTCATAAAGTGAAAGTCCCATTGTCACACGTAACTATCAGCTTGACTTGCTAGTAGGTGTTACATCCTCCATCCATCCATCCATCCATCCATCCAACCATCCATCCATCCATCCATCCATCCCTCTATACTGTTAGAGCAAGGTTGGTCAAACCATGGCCCCCGGGCCATCTGACAGCCCACCATATATTGGTACTGATCAAAGTTGACTCAAACCCAAATTTGAAGTGAAATTTCTCTCATTTCACCGCACCTGCGATGCTGAAAGAGGCTCTTTGACAAGTGAACAAATACAGGAACTCACCGGACGATCAGCCCAAAAAAATCTGCTATTCTTTGGTTCTGAACAAAATGAGAAGTGTCTGTTTTGTCCTTTCTCACGTGATCCTGAAACAGCACAACAGGAACTGGTCGGTCTTTAGTGTGACCCCGTGTGACCTCGGGGTATATGTGGAAACACATTCCAAAGTGCCAATGGCGCAAACACAGGTAGAAACACAACTAAACTCACTTGATGTCTGTTTCTACATTCAAGAGTCTTTAATCTTCAGAAATTATCCTGAAAGAGATGAGTCTCGTTTACTAGTTCACTGTTCCTGTTGAAAACAAGTCCAACCGTCTTGCAAGGAACCTTGAAATGAACCCAAATAATAATTTTCCAGTACACCAAACAAGCTTGAACTGGGCTTGAAACAGACCCACCTACACCAAGAATTATGGGCGTTCTTGGCACGGTGTTGAGTAGCTCAGATCTTTATCCAGAGGTGTAAATCTTTGCTGGCTGAACGTGTCAGTGGGACTCCAGAGAATAGCTGCCTATTGAAATTTAGATATTCTAAACTCTGCTTCCCGTTTAGTGCCGTTCATAATTCAGGGAGCTGATTTGTTGGTTGGCATCGGTGGGCTTTGCTGATGCAATGTACAAACAGCACTTTATTCACTTATACTAAGTGGAGGAGACCTGATGGCAGGTGTAATAAAATAGATGGTTCATATGAACGATTTTGCTTCCTAGAGCCTGGGCATGTGACTTTTATTTGACCTGATGTACTAAAAATAATAGCTTTACAGCTCATTAAAGGTGTGGGTCACGGTAAAACAATTTTTTATTGATTATTTCTGATTTTAATCAGTCACTCTTGAGTTTTTCATGCAGGCTGAACATGAAAATAGTCTCCTACACCTATCTCCTGCATTAGCTTCTGATAGAAAATAGACAGTGAAATTCTAGGATTAGAAAATCCTGACAGATCCACGCCACACTGTCACTTAACTTTCATGGACTCACCCTTCTTGACTCGAGACGGGGAAGGCTGTTGTTGGTTTAGTGTCCAGGGAACAGCAGAGAAAATCTCAGCTAGTAGAAGCTAACTGTTAACATTAGCAACCGTACCCCACAGCAGAACTCCTCCAGGCTCGTGTTATTGGTGAAGATGAAACATCAAAGTTGCAGAGCAAATGGAGCCGGTGGCAGAGTGGTGTTGCTGTCATCCAGTCAACGCTGACAAGGCAAAGCTAATGTTGTTTACAAATCTAAAAAGAGACCTCCAAGTATGCCCTCAGTGACCACCCTTGAGGGAAATATCATAAAGGTGGTCCACACATACAAATATCTTGGTGTCTGGCTCAATGACTCCATCTCCTTCAAGCTCCATATAGATAATCTTATGAAGAAACTCAAACTCAGACAGGGTTTCTTTTTTTTAAATAAACTTTGTTTTTCTTTTGAGGAAAAAAATGACTAGTTAGTGCAACATTTCTGTCTATTCTGGATTACGGAGACTTTCGTGTATGAATGCTTCAGCACAGTGTTTTGGTAAGAGTGATGTGGTTTATCATGCCTTGCTGAGGTTTATTACTAACTGCAGACCACTGACTTATCATTGTGAATTGTAGAGAGGTCCCGAAACAACTCTTTCACTTCCGATACGATACCGATATTATAGCCTTCAGTATTGACTGATACCGATATTAATCAGATACGATATCAGCACAAATCATACATACCTTTACCAATTTCGTAGTGTGGAATGTATGAAAGGGTTGATCAAGTGATATTACTCAATCCGGCAACATGAGCTAATAACAGTAAGTATGAAAAAAAGACCATTTTGCAATTTTTGATGCATTCTGACATAATCCGATAACGTTTTTGAGCCGATATCGAATTACTCCCGATATCGATATCAGAACGGGACATCCCTAGTGAATTGTATTCTCAAGTGGGATGGCCTTTGTCCACCAGGAGGTTGGGACATTGGTACACCTTCATCTACAAGGCCATGCTTGGATTACCACCCACCTACAGTACATCTGTAACTTAATCTCACATAGAAATGTAACTTCTCACAGTCTGCGTGCAAACGGTCAGCTATTACTTTCTGTTTGTTCACTCTGCTCCTTCTGCACGCAACAGGCTGCAGGAAAACTGGAAATTAACTGAGCTTATCTCCTTGAATCCATTTAAAATCCGACTGGGAGCTCTTGAGATGGCTTCCCTGTGTTGTAACTGCCTTCTGTAATTTTGCACATAAAATGTAACTGAAGAATGTTGTAACTGTAACTTTTGCTGCCTCTTGGCCAGGACTCCTTTGAAAATGACATTTTTAATCTCAATGGGACCTTCCTGGTAAAAAAAAAAAAAAAAAGAAAATCAGAAATGAGATGTCCAAATATAAAGAAAAAATACTCCCACTCTTGTCATCTGAAGCTACTGTCTCTTCCAGCTGATCTGTAATTCCTGTAACAGGCACATCTGAGCGTTTTTACCCAGAGTATGACTTACAAGGCATTCCTTCCTACTAGAGACCACTGCAGATATATTGATTAAACAAGTGATCCATATCTTTAAAGTGATTTTTAATAAAACATTTCTCTGAAAGGGGCATTTACCCCCCAGTCTTTCAAAGATATCGTCTTCCATCATAGTGCTAATGTGTCTGAAGCGTAGACACAAAAGACTGAAGACGTTTGTGTTGTACTTCGGCCTGGCTCAGACGGAAGGAGCAGAAATCAATAAGGAGGACTTGTTTTCTGTCCTTTTCTCAGACAGACAAATCCTTTCCTACTGAACAGACTTATTTATAAGACTTTCACAAAAATCTGTTTATACCACTGCTGTCCATCATTATCAACAGGATTATCTGTGGACTTCATTTTATGAACAGGAAATCACGTTTTCTTTCTTAAAACGTTGCTGATATTTAATTCACTGAAACCAAAATGTCCCAGAATGCATCTGAACAGGAGTAATAAAAAGTTTGGGTGCTTTTGAGAAGTGAGTCCCAGTGCCAAGTCAGAATGAGACGGTTTGGAGGAACGTGGGTCGAGAAGGAGGCAAGCTGCCCTCATTACCTTGCCTGGATGAGGAAATGTTTCCTGACATCTGTGCAGGAAAGCAAGGGGCAAGTTCCTTCATGAAGGATGTGCTCTGGTGGGAAGAAACTCTGATATTTGTTTTTCCACTTTTTTAGTCACATCCAAACATCATTTAAACTTTAGAAGATTATAGTTCAAGCTTAAGATTGTTTGTTGTGTCAAAACTAACTAACTAACTAACCTCAGCACCAAAATCCACAGGTTCGTCTTCAGATGTTCTCATGTCTTCAAAGGTCGGTAGATGTTGTTAGAAAATGTAATTAATGCCTCTTCTTCTGTTTTACACTCTTTGTTGTTTCTGTTGTAAAACGAAGGAATACGGTTAAAATCACAATTTTATGAGGTTAATTAAGAAGATACCATTCTTTGGTCATTTTAAAGCATTAACAATTAGAATGGATTAGATTAGAATATTGCTATCTGAAGATATTTTGTTTATCACGTTATTATGATAATGTGTAGATTGACTTCTTACGTTAAAGCCTCGGTGTGTAACCTGTTTACTATCAAATCCTGTGTTTACAGTTCACAAACTAGTCCTTTTTCACTAATATTTCTCACCAACATCAATTCGAAATATTCCTCTCAACTTGAAATTTGACATTTTTAAATACATAAACTGTATTTGCATGATACATGGAATCATCTCCATGCTACAATTTGCAGACTTGCTTGAATACTAATCCATCTTTTTCTGAGTTGTTTGGTTTTTCTTTCATCAGAAAAGGATCTGGGTGGGAGAAAATCAAGTGACTCTCTGGCGAGAGAGGGGAAAATCGTTTTTGGTGAACAATAATGACATTAGAGAGCTGCTTTCTGACTGATATGATCTCGGTGTTCTAGCAGAAAACAAACACGTCTTTTTTATCAGAGTGGATCATCTAACAGGGTGAAGATCCAGCCTCTCACTCTGTGTGGTAAATAAAGTGATTAGCTGCAGCTCGGTGCCGCTGAGAGATTTCTTCTCCCTGCAGCAGCATCCAGACTCCAGCTGGAGTCAGTGATGAATCTTTATTCACAGTTTTGGTTCACCAAATAAACGCGTGAACCCAAACCCACAATGAGCCCAAAGTTCAGTTTTTGATAATGTCACAAAACAGAAAAGCAATTGTTGACTTACAGAGTATTTTGCATATATTTCCGCAGCAAAGTAAATCTATCTGGAGGCCCAAACAAAAAACTGTTTACTCTAAAGTCGTTTGGAAATTCTGCCAACATGCAGCTTCCTCTTATCTCAAAGCCGGAGGTTCGAGTTTGATGCTGTGGCCTAATTTCCTCCATATTTAAAGTTTCCTTCCTCTCTCCATTTCAGGGCATGTAGTACAACCCGAACCGTTCATCTTCAAAGAGCTGTGTGCCTTCAAAGACGATCCGGGTCCATGCAAGGCCATCAAGGAGCGGTTCTTCTTCAACGTGAACACGGGTCAGTGTGAGCTGTTCGAGTACGGAGGCTGCGGCGGGAACATCAACAACTTTGAGACGCTGCAGGAGTGTGAGGAGATGTGTGTCGTCTCAGGTGAGACAAACCCTGAAGTTTTCCTAGGAAAATGGAGATCTGGTAGCTTTGCATTGTGGGTAAATAAAACTGATCTTCATTCAACTTTCATTCCAGCTCAGGCATGTGGAGAGAGGGAACGTTGCCAGAACATTAATGCTGTACAGTTTTGCTGAAGGTGTCTATTTAATGGAAAACAAGAAACTTTGGTCCATCTGCTGTTATTTATGGCTGATAAACAAAACTGGTGATAAATTAACCTCAGATTAATTAACTGAGCCGTGAGAGTCTGAACGTGCAGATCTACTGATTCTCATTTGATTGACAGTCTACACACGCACATGCACACACATTGCCTTTCTAAAACCACATTTAATCCAAGCTCATTAATCCGATTATGACACAAAATAATAACTTGATTTAGTTTTATGTAATCAAAGCTGGCATCACTTCACAAAGCCAAGTTCACTCAGAGACCATTTTTTCTTGTTATTTTTGAAACATGATTAGTCACTCCAGAGAATCAGCTCCTCTAAATCCGAGACCATGGAGGGGACAATGCCTTCTCCATGTCAGGGATGAGGTCCTGCCTCACGTGGAGGAGTTTAAGCATCTAAGGCCTAGTCCACACGTAGCCGGGTTTTTTTTTTTACGAATATCCGCCCCTCCAAAAACTTGCATCCACACCACCTCATTTAAAAAAAAAACTCTGTCCACACGTACCTGGATAAATACGTTGTTAAGGACATGCCAGACCTGTAGGTGGCAGTACTTCCCCCGTTCTTAACCTCGTCCTTCGTCTGTGGTCTTCCGCAAGGAGCAGTAATTCCTCTTGCAAAAACAAACAAGCAAAAAGCGCTTGGACAATTGATAAAGCGAGTGCAGCTCTGAGGGCATCCATGCTGTCGGCTAGTGTAAACACAGGTCGCACACGTGATGTCAGCATTTTTTGTCGCGGAAAGTGACGTTGCGGACCTTAAAACTCCGATTTTGTCCATCCACACGCAGACACCCAAAACGGAGAAAACGCAGATCTTCACTTTGGCCGGAGTTTTTAAAAAGATCCCTTTTCGTGTGGATGACAGGCCAAAACGTAGAAAAATATCTACGTTTTGGCAGATCCCCGGCTACGTGTGGACAGGGCCTCAGGGTCTTGTTCACGAGTGAGGGAAAGATGGAGCGTGAGCTTGATAGGCAGACTGATGCTGTGTCTGCAGTGATGCGGTAGTTGTACCGGTCTGTCGTGGTGAAGAGAGAGCTGAGCCAGAAGGTGAACACAGATCTACGTTCCTACCCTCACCTATGGTCATGAGCTTTGGGTAGTGACCGAAAGAATGAGATCGTGGATGCAAGCGGCTGAAATGAGTTTCTCCACTGAGTGGCTGTGCTCTCCCTTAGAGATGGGGTGAGAGGCTCGGTCATCCGGTTTTAGTAAGGATTCTATGCAATGTTTGATAAATGAGACCCCTGACCTGTCCCTAATGTCCACATTTATAAAGTTTATTCAGGTCGTCTTACTGTTTGGCGTCCCACTGGACACTGGGATAGTCTGTTAAAAAGGAGGTCAGTCAGGATAATCATTCAAGATTTCAATCACATTTTGTTCTTATTTGGAATTTCTGTCACTCTGTGCATCACACTAAACTTTAAATTACTTTATTTGCCAAATTATTTTTATCTTAATCAGTGATAAGCGACACCAGGACATGGTAATTCCCATCCTATCTAGACTTTCTGCAGAATCCTTGAAGATATTTTGCTTTTCATCTGAGGAGATTTTTTTCAATCCAAGCAGAAAAAAGCAGAGTAAATCCTGGATTTGTGAAATTATTGGATAAAAAGCTGCGTGTCTTTTATCTGCAACAAATCCAAGTGCTATTTTTGTCTCTGTGTCTTTGCCAGCGCTTCCATTTATCTGCCTATGATAATAGTAGATGTGCTTTCACCTGACATGAAGCAGCTTGATTTTACTTCAAACATCCCATAATGCACTGGGCCAAGGTATCTGTTGCTAATGTACCTGTAAATATTACTACACCCTAGATGCTCTTTGTTTATTGCTGTTTTGAGGGTTTTCTTGGCAGCAGAAGACTTTGGACTTTGTAAGTTCTAATGAACTTGTAATGTGATTAGACCTGTTATTTGTTCAGTCATAAATCAGATTAAACAGTTGCAACTGAGGGATTATATCCGAGCGTTTCTTTGTTACTCCAGATGGAACGTATTCCCAGCTGATGCTGCTAAAGTTCTTCGCCCGTTCACACCACAAGTTGCAGCACGCTTTGTGGCATCTGCTGCTCATTCTTTTTCAAAGTAATGTTTTTGTTTTGTTTTCTTTGTGGCGTGACTGGTGCATCATGGGTAGGAGAAGTCCAACAAAACAAGACACGAGACTTGATCTCAGCACATAAAACTTTGCCTGAACAAAACGGTGAAATTTAATATCTTTGGAGGAGAATCTGAGGATGACTAACAGCAAAGAGTCAAAGGTGACAGAGTTTGAGGAAAATGCAGCCTTTCATTTTAATGCAGATAAAGGCAGATTTGGGTGATTTTAAACCGACTAAAAAGTAGTTAGAGCTGCGATATTTACATAATTTACATTGTAGGACTTTCAGTTATTCCCACTAAGATAATCTGTAGTAAACCGTAAACAGTGATAAAAGGCATATTTTAGACACTTGTACTTAAACATGCATTATAATTAACAAAACAATCTAGAAATGTATAAATAAAAATATATACTATATTAAATGAATTAAAAAGGCAAACAGAGATTAATTTCCACTGTTAGATTTTTCTTGTAGTGGAAGTTAAAGAGTTAATTGTTAATATTTGGTCATCGTGAATGACGTCCTTGCAAGAGAAGCAACTTGATGTAATTCAGTAATATGACAAAGTGCTTCGTCCCACAGGCTAACGGTGACCTTCACCTTTTCATTGCATGAGATACGTTGGATTATGCAGCCAGATTAGCATTCTGCAGACTGAGACTCAATCTCTTTTTTTTCCCATCAGTTCCATCAAATCTGAGCCGTAAAGACAAATCTGTAAGGCGGAGACTCACCAGTAGAAACTCCAAAAGTCAATGAAGTCTGAAAAGATGCGGAGTTTGCTTCAGGATAAAAACGGGGACAAAACATGTACAGCAGAAATGATTTACTGAAATTTGTTACCTCCGGTTGAAACCAGCATCATGATCTATTTTTAGCTATAAAGTATTAACACAGTGGGACGGTAAATGGCCCGTATTTGTATAGTGCCTTCTAAAATAAATGACAAAACAAAACCAGTAATTCACCCATTCACACACACACATTCACACGCTGATGGTGATGAGCTACAGTGTAGCCACAGCTGCTCTGGAGCACACTGAGCACAGGCGCCACCGGTCCCTCCGAGCACCACCAGCTAGCAATGTGGGTTGAGTATCTTGCCCAAGGACGCAACAGCAGCTCTCTCTGCCAGGAGCCGGGGTCGAACCTACAACCCTCTGTTTGCTGGACATCCCGCTCTACCTCCTGAGCCACTGCTGCTCCCCAGTGTGATGGTTTACAAGATTACAGATTAGGACAGGAGTTTCCTGGACCCAAATAATCAAATTAAAAGTAAAATTTATATTATTTTCTTGTTGAGGATTTCATTAAACAGGTGATATTTTTTCTAAAAAGGACCAGAGATGATTAAAGAATAAATTTGGATATATAAATAAAAGAGCCACACTTTATAAACTCTTGATTTTATTTATCTGAGCCGTTTTGGGACATTAGCTCATCACTTATGATGATTCAGTCATAGACGGAGTTACATGCTTACATTTTTATTGATTAAAAGCTAGTTTCACAGGTGAAAATACATTTGAATCTAAAATAAGGAAATCTCCAGACATCCATTTCAGTAACAGCAAAGATAAAAGCAGCAAATAATTGGACTTTCCTCTCTTGACTGATTGCAGAGTGGTTTGATGTTAAAGGTGGAAGCAGATAAATGATGGATTTCTTCTGAGAGAAAAAACATTTTGCAAACTTGACCCAGAGTTTCCCGGGTTGGAAATGTTCTAAAGCAATGAGAAAAAGGAATGGGATGATTTTTTTTAAATGTATTGTTGAGATTTTTAAGTTGACAGAAGCTTCAAAAACAACCTGCATGCACAGACAAGGTGATGTTTTTTAAGAACACGTCTTTTATAAATAAAAATACCATTTTTGTACAAGATCATAAAGTTTTGGCCCTTTACATAAATAAAAGAAAAATATCAAGACATTTTTCTTTATAAAATAACTTCAGGTGTATTCTAGTGTTTGCACATATTGATAAAGAAACTATATATATATATATATATATATATATATATATATATATATATATATATATATATACACTGGACCAGCTCTATACCCTTAGAGGTATCCTGGAGGGTGCGTGGGAATTTGCGCCTCCACAGTCTACACGTGTTTTGTGTATTTGAAGACGGCGTTTGACCGCGCCCCTAGGGGGGCCCTGTGGAGGGTTACTCCAGGAGTGTGGGGTACCAGGCCCTCTGATACGGGCATTTAGGTCCCTGTATGACCGGTGTCAGAGCTTGGTCCACATTGCCGGCAGTAAGTTGGGCTCATTCCCAGTGAGAGTTGGACTCTGCCAAGGCTGATCTTTGTCACTGTAGAGAAGATGTTCTTACATTTAGTTAGAAACCATACAATGTGAAATATCATAAAATATGAAATATCACCTTAATGGATCTTTGAATAAATTTTACCAGAAGATCGGATCTTTTTATTGCAGGGATTGAGCAACACTCAGTATCAACTCCAAGAAAGAGAGAGCGAGTCAGGTTTAAAAAGTTAAAAGATTTATTTCTAAACAAATTAAACAAGACTAACTTTAAACACTATGTGATGATGAACTAAGGTGGCGTAAGACTGAGGATGGTGTGTGTGTGAAATATGTTCAGAACCAGCAAATCCGGAGAGACTATTAGTTCTGATGGGAGTGAAATGGTGTTTCGCTCTAAGCTTTGGTTG